TATATTCTTTATGTTTTACTCCTCAATTTAGACAAGGCAGGGAAGCATAGCATGTGAAGACTCACCAAAATGCATGGCTGTGCTAAGCGGCCGCGTCAGGAAAGTGTGCATGTTGGAGAGATTCAGCATTAGCAGATGAAGATGCTAAAATAAGGGGCAGTTCCTCTCTGTTTGTTTTCTCTTACCATAATTCACACAATTTTAGACAGAGTAGATCTGATAGGAAGGGCCCAGAGATCAGTTGAGAAAGAGGGTTCTTAAAATCTTGGAGACACAGAGACAATTCTTGGCCCTTTATTTTCTGACTTCAAGTTTTGATATCCACATTGGGGCCAGTTGAGAGAGCACAATAGTCCCTTAGGTTTTCTTGAGCTAAATTGCATCAAGGATAGGTGCAGACCTGTCCTTCACAGTCTGGGTTGTTTGTACATAACTTAGAATCTGAGAGAAGGTGACCTGGGGATTGAGAACTTCCTGATGAGAGAAGCTTCAAGTTTGCTGACTAACCAACTTTTCAGTGTTCTGAAAGTTGATTAGCCTCAAGAGAGAAGGAGAGAGGTTATGTTCAGCTTTTCTTTGCCTCCATCCCTAGAGAAGCTTTGAACTTTTAGAAATTGTTCCTTAGTGGATAGCTAACCATCCTTGGGGGCAGGAGAGAAAGGAGGAAGGAGAGAATACCAGAAAAAAAAAAAAAGACAAATGAACTTTCCTCACTACTATGATTTCTGGACATTTCCCAAGCTTCTCTGTGTGCACAGCATTCTTCACTGTGAATGGGGAAAACAGTTGCTGGCTCTGCCTCTTGGCCCCAGGTTTGGACTAGCCCAGAGCTTGCCATTCTGGGTGAACCCTGGAGAGGCCATGAACTTCCTGGTTGAGTTCCCCCTTGTCTAGAGGCATCTTCCAGGCGCTCCTGCCTGTGAGCTACAGAACAGTAAAGCACCATCATGGAAATGCTTGACTCCTCATCTTCTAAGGACACAGACATACTGAAAAGAGACTGGGTGAGCCAGGAGTCACAGCTTCCTCCTTAGCAGAGAGCACATCTACCGGGCTCTGTGCAGGGCTGGCACAAAGCTCTCCCTGGCTTGCCTCTCTCTTCTCCCCACCCTTCTATCTGCTTGGATTCTGTAGCTCTCTAGGACTGGCAGATCCACAGTTCACTCTGTACTCTGCTCAGTCCCCATTGTCCACCTCTATTCATTGGCAAAATCATTTTTTTTTTTAAATCACTGAGTACTTATGTCATCAAACTTTTTCCAGTGGGGGGGACTCTGGCAGTACAAGAAAGAGAAAATGAAGGATGGGCTGTGGAAATCTTAGTTAAATGTGGGCCTTTGAGGCTATATTACTGAGCAAGCAAAAGTATGACTTGAGATACCAGTGAGAGCAGTGGTAAGAACAGTACAGTCCTGCGGAAGGCAGAGAGCAAGAGGTCTCTCTAAATGAAAGTCTGGGAGGAGGAGACATTTGTGCAGAGACCCAAAGGAGGTGAGGGGAGGAACTCACGCTGACCCGTTAGTGTTTTCTCATTCTTTCCCTTTCTCGCAGGACTGTGGAGAAAATGGGTGGCCACAGTAGAGTCAATGTGGCATTTCCTTGGTGAGACCGAGACCGTGACATGTTGGATGTAGGAGCACAGTGGTCATGTCTCCCACAGAGGTCCTGTCTCTTATGGAAAGTAGAGATTGAGATGCAAGTCACGTAGCAGATGCTGTCTTTACTCCACAGTTGTGTTCTGGTCCCAGGAGGATACTTGGCAGGACAGACAGAAACTGGAGATTAAAATTTGAGCTCTGTTGCTCCTTCTGGACTCTTCATTGAGGTAAGAGGTGAGAATACCTTTCATCATACCAAAACAAACAGACAGAAAATCAGAATGTGGAAGAGGCAGTGAACTATTCCAGGAAGCAAGCCTAGAGTCAGGGGAAGATACAATGCTTGATTCCAGGAGAGGCCCTGTCTTCTGACAGTATCCTGTGTAAATTGCACTTCCCCACCACACTCTATAATTGAAAGGTGAAAATTTTCAAATGAACAAAATGGAAATGGAGCCTGTGTTTGGCAGACGTTAAGGATACAAGGATCCCCGTCTTTGCGGGATTGGCAAGGGGTACTTAGAATCATTAAAATGCAGCAGGACTTTGTAAGATGGGGACACAATTGCCAGAGAAGAGGTATTATAAATTAGCAGACTGTGGTCAGGGAAGCAGTATGGTGGCTCATCACAGCAGAATGTAGGAGGATTTTAGCGCCCTCAGAGACAAAGGTACACGTTATACTGGGTAAGTCTCCCTGTCTATGGTGTGTATGGTGTGCTATTGATGATCAGCACTCATCCATTCGAATTTGCACGCTTCTGTTATATACTTACATATGTCTACATATATGAATTCATACATCCATTCATTAACAGCAATTTCAGATAGAAATAATAGCCATGTTGTGGAGTTAAAGGATGCAGGGGAAATGTTTCTTGAAACTGGTAATGTCTTCAACATTTCCGAGGTGAGAAGCATTCTCTCTCTCTCTCATTCTAGATTTCACAAGGAACAAGGACTCAGAGCTAAATGTTGGGGAATTACACAAGTGCCACTGGGTTTTATCTTGCTGTTTCCCCTGTCTCTGAAAAGCTGTGCCACATCCTTTTTTGCTACCTTCTGCTTCTTCTACTTAGTGTCCCTAGTGGGGAACACAATCATCTTCGTGATCGTCTGTGCTGATAAACGCCTGCAATTCCCCATGTGTTTCTTCCTGGTTCACCTCTCCATCCCGGAGATCCTGCTCACAACCATTATCGTCCTGTGATGCTTTGGGGGCTACTGCTCTCCGGCATGGAGGCAATATCTGTGGCTGGATGTGTGGTACAACTCTTTCTGCAACTTGCCCTGGGGACCACGGAGTTTTCCTTGCTCGGAGCGATGACTGTAGACCATTATGTGGCTGTAGACCATTATGTGGCTGTTTGCAACCCTTCATGAGCAGCCGAGCCTGCAGCGCCGTGGTAACTGTGTCATAGTTATTTGGGTTCTTTTATCAAATCTGGCCAGTTTATGCCACATTTCACCTTACCTACCGCAAATCAAACGTGGTAGACAATTTCTTCTGTGACGGAAGGGAAGCTGCTCAAATTATCCTGCGATAACACTATTTTCCTAGAGTTTATCCTCTTTTTAATGGCTGTTTTTGTTTTCTTTGGTTCTCTCTATCTACCATTGTCTCCTACACCTACATCATCTTCACCATCCTCAAGATTCCCTCAGCCTCTGGGTGGAGGAAAGCCTTTTCTACCTGCGCCTCCCACGTCACCTGTATTGTGATTGGCTACCGCTGCTGCTTGTTCCTGTATGTGAAAACCCAAGCAAACTCAGGCATCTGATTACAAGAGTGGTTTCCGTCATGATTTCCATCGTAGCTCCGTTCCTCTATGTTGAAATAAGAGCGGCGACGGGGCTGCGTCCCCAACACCCCGGCCGCTTGGCTAGCTCATGCCCGAAATAACAACACACAAACTGTATTCATTTAAAGAACTGCTTGGCCCATGACCTCTAGCTAATTCTTGCACCTGGACTAGCCCATTTCTAATGATGTGTGTAAGCACCCCAAGGTGCGCTTACCGGGAAGATTCTAGCCTATATCCATCTTCATCGCGTGTGCCTCAGAGAGCAGAGCTATCGCGTCTACCTGGGAGAGCTGAGCATGGCGTCTGTCCAGGAGCAGAGCAGAGTCTGACCTCACTTCCTCTTCCGCCCAGAATCCTATTCTGTTTATTCCACCCACCTATGTTCTAAGCTATGAGGCCAAGCAGTTGGTTTATTACTTAACCAATGAAATCAACAGATTGATATATGACACTCCCACATCACTTCCCCTTTTTCTGTTTAAACAAAAAAAAAAAGGCTTTAACTTAACATCGCAAAATTACATATAACAAAACAGTTATCAAGTAAAAATTACAATAATCTATATCATAACTAAGAAAAACTATAACTATAGCTAACTATTCTTAACTCCATCAAACAGTCCAGAAAGATACAATATTACCTAAACAAATAAGAAATAAGCAAACTCTCAAACTCTAGAAATGACAGAGACATCTCACTGCCTGGACAGTCACCCAAAGTTCCTCTGTACCGTTGGGGCATCCATCTTCAGCCTACAGGCCCATAGTTTCCAGCAGACATTTCCACAAAGCAGGAAATTTCAAAGGCAGTCACTATCTGCTTGTCCTGAAGAATGTCTTGCAGACTCTTTCATGAATCAGGAACCCCGAAAGATCATCTCACCTTTAGGCAAGTTCAGCAGTCCTCTCTCTGCGGGTTCTCTGTGTCCAGTTTATGCAATAGTCCAGGCAAGAGCAGTTTCTTGCCCAAATGGCTATCAAACTCCATAAGGATCCTCTTCGATGCCCATCTTCCTCTTGAAGTAGATTGGTGCTGCCAGGAGCAGAGTGTCTCATTGTCATGAAAAGTCCTAAGTTATTAAAACATTTAAAATGCCATATTCTATAATCTTTGAAAAATATGAAGAATGCCTATCTAAAATATATCTATGCACATCTAGAAAATCTTAACTAACATGACTACAAACTTAACTATTATTAATGATTATTCATTAACAATCTATATACATTACAAAATTAACCTTAAATTTAAATCACTAAAGCAAAATCCATATCAATGTAAATTATTCATACCTATATCATCTCCCCCTTTAAATGTAAAAGAACATTTATAAACAATATTTGGGAATATGGGCGCAGTTTTTTCTCTCCAAACTGCTTCCTGCTGAATGGGGGCGTCGTTAATTAGGTCTTTCATGGTATAACCTGTGTGCTAGTTTCATCTCAGTTGGCAGTTGAGCGAAGCAATTTTCTGAAGGTATTCACAGCAACCGTTCAGGAGGGCGTGGTCCATCATACCATATCGGAATAGAAGAAATGAACAGGGTCTCATCCTCTGTGAAAACAAAATAAGAAACTCCTTTCCAAAGTATCATGTCCTTAGATCCAAATTTCAAAGTCAAGGCATCAAAATCTCTACGTTGGATTAGTTCAGCAGCATTTATAAACAAATATCTTTTAGCAGCTGTTGCTCCTTCCTCAGCATTCAAACAATTCAAAGAGAGCATAATAGTATACAGTATCAAGATTCTCTGTGTATTTTCCATCTTTGTACGCTTTATTTTAACCTCTATTTCGTTTATTTTTACTTTTATTTTCTATTCTCTGTATCTTTGTCCTGGAATAACTCTGTAGACCAGGCTCTCCTTGAACTCTCAGAGATCCGCCTGTCTCTGCCTCCCAGGCATTGGGATTAAAGGTGTTTGCTACCACACCTTGAACTCACAGAGATCTGTTTGTCTCTGCCTTCTAGGCACTGGGATTAAAGGCGTGTGCTACCACACCTTGAAGTCACAGAGGTCAATCTCCCTCTGCCTCCCAAGTGTTGGGATTAAAGGCGTGTACTACCACACACAACTTCTCTTTTTCTTACTTTTTTTTTAAAACTTTTAACTTTTAGCTTGCATATATTTTTAACACACTGTAAATCATTTAAACATTTTCTTTATCTTTGAATCTCTTTACTGTATATCTCTCTTTTTCTGACCACACGAGCCTTTAAATTACTGAGCAATATGAGTAGGATTAAAGCCGTGGCTTTGCCAGCTAGATCCAGTCCATTCCTTAGCTTTCCAGCCTCATGGCGGAGATACAGGCTGTAGCCATGTTTATAGCCACAATTCTATGGCGTTTCAAGGTCCCTGCCAGCCAGCGAGCTACAACAGACAACAGTCAAGTCCTCTCTCGGTAGTTGGCCCTCCTGCCTCAGTCAGAGTTTGCCCTGGCAGGACGGCCCAGAAAGCCGGCATTTTTAAACAGCACAGCTTTTTTCCTGCTACGGCTGAAAACCGAAAAGCATGCGTTCAGCTTTTCACCAACACCGTTTAAGTGTTTCGTGGCAGGACCTCTTAATGAGCTGCAGGGTTTTGCAGCTGAAGCTGAGTCAGGAAGCCTCTCTTAGATGAGAGCACTTGCTTGCTTCTAACAAGCGAAGCAGACCCGAAAAATTGTTGCTACCAAGAAAACAAACATGCTTTACTCTTTCCCAAGCTTTCTCAGGCTTTTTGCGGTTTCAGTTAGCCACACGTCTGGGCGCCACCTCTACCCTTTCATCTTCACGCTCCATAATGACAAAGTCCAGGACGGAGTAACGCTGCTACCAGTTATTCAAGAGTTAGCCCCGCCCTGAGGCCTTTTTTTCTTTCTGGCTAAACACACACTGAGATTGCTAGAGTAATCGGAGAACAGCTCTGAGTGGCATCATAATCACTATCATGATCAAATCATCTGTGTTCAGAGGCTTTAAGGTGTGACTGTATTTTTTTCATTAGACTCTTTTCCTCTCAGGTCCTCTCTCTTCCCTACCCATCCAACTCCGTGTTCTTTTTCTCTCTTTAAAACAAAACAAAAAAAACAACCCCCCAAATTAAAGTTCCATTAAAGCCAGTGGGTCATAGTTGTGTTGCTCATCCACTCCCAAGCATGGGACCTGCTGCGGAGTGTGGTTGATACACTAAGTGTCACTCCATTGAAGAGAATCCATTTTCCCTCTCCCAGAAGCTATTAATTGCAAACGGCTTCTTGGGTAGGATTGGGAGTTTGTGCTCACTTCCCCTCCTTCATGCTGGGATTTTTCTTTTCAGGCTTGCACTTGGATAGGTCTTATGCCTACTGTGGCAGTACCTGTGAGTTCATCTGTGTATCTGCCCAGCTTTTGATGGGACATTTCAAAACCATTGTCACTACATGCAAGGGAACACAGTAAAGAAACCGTGAAGATGACTGTTTCCTTATTAGGGGGATTTTTATTATGAATAAGAGAGAGAAAATATCAAGAGACATCTTGAAGAGTCCAGAGCACAGAGAAAAGAGAACAGACTGGATATGACCAGGGCTAGTGGAGCCAGGTGAACACAGTGGAGACAGCAAGAGATAGAGCATAGAGCATAACAAGAGAGAATAGTGAGGCTAGCAAGAGAGCAAGAGATAGCCTGAGGATGTATGTTTGGTGTGAATAAACCATGTGGATTATGAGGAGGCAGAGTAGCTCTGGAGAGGAAAGGGCCAGGAGACTTTGAAATGTACAAGAAGTACTTGAGAATAGAGACTGAGAGAACCTGGTGGCCAGCATGGGCTCTATATACAGCCCCAGGTAGCCATGCGCTCCTTCTGCAAGAGGTAAAGACAAATGGCTTCTTTTGGCAGATGGGAATGGTGGTGTTGTAGAATGTTATTTCCAGGTGTGTTGCTTTCGTTTATGTTGCATCTGTTTAACTCTGTGAAGCTGTGATTCTTTGCCTGTCCAAAACATCTTGATGGTCAAATAAAGAGCTGACCAGCTATTAGCAAGGCAGAAGCAAGGACAGGCAGGGCTGGCGGACAGAGAGTATAAGTAGAAGGAGAAACGAAGAAAAGAGGAGCAAAAGAACAAGGAGAGGAGGGAGGAGGATGTCAGGGGCCAGCCATCCAGTCAGCCATGGAGTAAGAAGGAAAGTAAGATATAGAGAAGTAAGAAAAGGTGATGGAGGAAGGTCATTAGTTAAGTAATAAAGAAACTGCTTGGCCTCATAGGTTAAAACATAGGTGGGAGGAGTAAACAGAACAGAATTCTGGGAGGAAGAGGAAGTGAGCTCAGAGCCAGCCTATATAGCCCCCAGGGAATCCAGGCACTGAACAGTCTAACGTTTGCTTGTGCCAAAAAAAAAAAAAGCTAAAAGATAAAGATATGTAGTAAAAGAGGTTCAGATGGAACAAACCTCTAAACAGGTTCCAATGTGTTTTACAGTGTGCATAGGTTTGAGAAAGAAAGAAAATGGGTATAGGCAGTCATAGAAAGAAATAGATTAAAAATGATGAATTAAAGTCTTTAGAGACGGTAAAAGTAATGTGAAAGAAAAAAGTCATGTAAAGATGGAAAATTCACAGGGAGTCTGGATCCTGTATGCTACTGTGTCAATTTTGAATTTTTTGATTGCTGGAAAGCAAAGGACAGCTGCTTAGAAACCTGGCATTGAAAGAGGGACTGTGGAAATAAACAAGCCTAGATAGCTTAAGGATGCCTTAACTTTTAAAATGTCAAGAAATGTATTTGTCAAATGGAAATAAAAAATGCATTGGAGAAGTGGTTTTGCTTTTGCTTCCACCGGGAACAATAGGATGTAGATTCATTCCAAGTTGATTTGGATCTGGTTTGACCAAGGGCGAGCTTTTGAATCTTGACAGCTGTTATCTATCAACAAAGGTTATAACTGGTCTTCCCAGAACTTGGTTATTAGATCAAATTTTTCTCAGGGACCCTTGGAGATGTCTTCATCCACAGCCAGCAGGAAGCAATATGGAGAGGACTGTGCCCCTATTCCCAAGAGAAAAGGTGGTGTGGGTAGTCTTTGGTTATCTTGTGGGTCATGGATGTATGTTTGTTATACTCTAGGTGAATATTGGAATATAGGTTAAAAAGATAACTATTAATCTCAGACATTTTGCATTGGCACGAATTTTGGTATATGGATATAAATTCAAAATCAATTTTGTTATGCTGTATATATGTTTTTGTTCTTGTTTAAAGAACTTTTGCATATTGATACAAATTCAAGGTCACTTTTGTTACAAAACTGTATATATGTTTCTACTTTTGTTAAAAGGATTTTTGTATATTGATTACAATTTAAATTATTTTTGTTAAATATGTATGCATGTTTCTATTTTTTGTTTAAAGTATTGTACCTATGCAGTTCATTTCATTTGGAAATGTAGGGTCAAATTTTAGTTTTCAAAAGCAGTTATTATGAACTACATAGAATAATCAGGAAACATAGGTTAGTGGTTCGTCATTAATAGCAATCAAATTTGCAGATATGTTAGGTATGTTTTCTAGATAATTTTATCTACGATAGATATATTCATAAACATAGAGTTATATTTTAGATAGATAAATGGTCTTCAAACACTTCAAAGACCTATGGCATATGACATTTAAAATATTTTGTTAACTTAAGACTTTTCATGACAGTGAGACACATCTGCTCATGGCAACATCAATTTACTTTAGAGATGATGGCCATCACAGAAACTCCTTATGGAGTTTGCTTTCAATGTGGCAAGGCTAGCTAGTCATTTGGGTAAGAAGCTGCATTTACCTGACCTGCTTGACAGTATGTTGTATAAACTGGACTAGCAGGACCCACAGGAAAGTGACCATTGAATTTTGCCAAAACAAGGTGGGACGGTCTTCAGGGTTTCTGCTTTGCAGAAAAAACAGACAGACATTCTGCAGGGCATGGAGGAAAGTGGCTGACAAACTGCTAATATAGGTGGGACCGCTTTTCAAATTTCCTGCTTCACTGAAAAGTCTGCCAGATATTATGGGCCTGTAGACTAAAGATGGATGCCTCAGCATTGTAAAAGAACTTTGGGAGACTGTCCAGGCAGTCAGATGTCTCTGTCATTTCTAGAGCTTGTGGAAGTAGTTTGCAATGCACAATGGGGCCTTTGAAGGAGTTGAAGGCTAGATAATTATTATAGTTGCAGTTTTCCTTAGATGTGATAGAAAGTGAGTTAGGTAAAAATTTTGGATTTACTAAAATAAGATAGATTATGGATTATTTTCTTTAAATTTACCAGACACAAATGAATTGGAATTCAGTATATTGTGAATGTAATCCTTACTTGGTAATTGTTCTTATTTGTTTCAAAAGAAAAAAAGGGGAAATGTTGGGGAATATTATTTTAAGGTGTGCGACTTTTGTTTATGTTGCATTTGTTAAACTCTGTGAAGCTGTGATTCTTTGCCTGTCTAAAACACCTGATGGGCTAATAATGAGCTGAATGGCCAATAGTGAGGTAGGAGAAAGGATAGGTGGGGCTGGCAGGCAGAGAGAATGGGAGGAGAGCTCTGAGAGAAGTAGGAGCAAGAGAACAAAGAGAGGAGAACTTCAGGGACCAGGCACCCACCCACCCAGTCAGCCAGCCAGCTAGCCAGCCAGCCAACCAGCCACAGAGTAAGAAGCAAAGTAAGATATACAGAAGTAAGAAAGATAAAAGTCCAGAGAAAAAAGGTGGATGGGTTAATTTAAGAAAAGCTGGCCAGAGCCAGGCGGTGGTGGCGCATGCCTTTAATCCCAGCACTCGGGAGGCAGAGGCAGGCAGATCTCTGTGAGTTCGAGACCAGCCTAGTTCCAGGACAGGCTCCAAAACCATAGGGAAACCCTGTCTCGAAAAACCAAAAAAAAAAAAAAAAAAAAAAGAAAAGAAAAAGAAAAAGAAAAGAAAAGCCAGAAATAAGCCAAGTTAAGGTCAGATATTCATAACTAAAAGTAAGCCTCTGAGTGTGATTTATTTGGAAGCTGGGTGGTGGGGCCCTTAAAAGAGCCAAAATATGGGACCAAAACCAACCAACAACATGCTGGCCTTTATCTTGCCATCAGAAATCCTCCCATAGTCCAGTTTGAGTTTATTCCTAGACATACGAACTACCTGAGACAGCAGTCACCTCTCTGATTGGAAAGCTATCTTGAGGTGTCAGCTTTTACATCATCACCCCTACCTTCCTGCGGACACAAAGGATCTGGGTGATGGAGCTGTGTTCTGTGATCTAGAATGAGGTGGGAGCTGGGCTTTCCATGGCCCTGGACTAAGGGGTGCAGTGCAGGGAACAGAAGAAGAGGCAGCCCTTGTCCCCTCTCTGGGATTCTCAGTCTTCAGTCTTTTCCAGGTCTAGAAGGTCTTCTTTGCTTTTGTTCTGCTTCATTTGTTCATCCTCTCTGGCTGCCCTTCTCCAGCCATTTCTGTGTTCCTCTCTTGGCTGTCCTAACTTAAACTCCTAGGTTCCTGTTTCCCTCATTACAAACTAACAAATAAAACAAGAAAGTTTTCACGACGTTTCCACCTTGTGTCCAGCATTGCTCAACTTCCTTCTTCCTGTCAGCCCCACCCTGATCTTAATCATTGTTTCCATTTTTTGGGGAGGAAGGGGCTCATGGCTACTTTGTAAAGTAATCCAGTGAAGCATTTCAAAAAAACTACACATTGATGTTGTGTGGGGTATCCATAGGGAGTTAGTTAAACAATATTTCTGCTATCCAGTGGAATTTTATGAAGATGCCAAAACAAAGATGTTCTTCATGCAATGATTAGAAAAGTTATGAGCCACATATTCTTCAGTGAGAAATCAGAGCGTACTGAGTATCAGTGGCTATGTATTCACAGTTGCTGTGAACGGCATCGTAGGGAAGTGATAAATAATTGTCCTGAAATTATGGCAATGAAGGGAAAGGAAGACCTGGCACTGTGCACCTTTAAATATTCTATTCATTTCTGCGTACATATACTAATTACTATGCAAAATAAAATAATCGAATCTTCCTTATTTTTCATAAAGGATGTACTAAATCACACTCCTATCTTTAATATATGCTGCAGGCCCAAGATTTTCATCACACAATTTGTCCAAATAAGAAGAGATTTGGTTAAATCGTCTTGAAGTCAAAGTATGACATTTGGAGCTGTTTGGATGCATAGCTGCAATGCCAGCACTCAGCAGGCAGATGGAAGAGGCCCGAAGCTGTGCTGGGTAACATAGTGATTTCTAAGCTGGCTTGAACTGTGTAGTAAGAGCCTGGCTTAAAATGAAGGAGCTATGAAAGAGGATGATGGAGAAGTTACAAGAGGCTGTAAAATTATTTGTCTTTCTAATTGTAAAGTTCTAATTCTGTCATTTTTTTTTTGGCTTGAGTGGTGGATAAGTACTTAAAATACATTTTTTATTGAAAGTGTAAATTTAATGGAAAACCCCACAGCTTTCACTTCAAATACCAATTCTAAATATACATAAATTTGTTATATGGTATAGATCGAGAGTCTTGTTAATCATGGTGTGTGATGTTCTTATTTACACGAAAGTTTTTATATAAAATTTACTTAAAAAATCAAGGAAGTTGTAGTTTACTGGCAAATGGTAACCTAGAATGTACAAAACCCTGGATTTCATCTTTAATATGGCATAAAACCACAAGTATGGAAATGTTTTTAGATCTTAACATTGAAGCTGAGAGCTCAGCAATGTTAAGAGAATAAGGTGTGTGTTGATATGACCATATCTCTTCCTCAAGTCTTTAACTGAAAAGTGTGATATGTCCATGAAAGGTGCTTCCAATTCTTTATCAGATGACAAATGGCAATCAAATACAAATCAAAGTCACTATGGAAAGTCATTCACATAAACCAAAGTAGAAAGATAACAGCATATGTTGGCAAGGCTATGAAATTGGTAAGAGTTCATATATATTACAGAAGGAAAGATGCAATTTTTCAGGAGCTTTTGAAAAATAGAAGTTCTTTTAATGATGCATCCTAGAACTGCAAGAGCTAGCAATCACTCTCCTAGGTGTATACTTGAGAAGTGAATGTTTGTAATAGTTATAGTATTTGACAGATGGGAAAGCTTAAGTATTACCCAGTTGATGCAGAAATAAACAATTTTTTTCATAGAATGAAATACAGGTTGTGATAACAAGCTTTACACCATTGCAACAAATACATGAGATAAATAACTTATCAAAAGGGTTTTTGGAGATTTCAATCCATCATCAATTGGCCTCATTGCTATTGGTCCTGTGGAGAGGGCACACACTGTGTTAGAAGCACACAATGGAGGGAAACCACTCCTGGCTTGGGAGCGAAACGGAAGATGAAAGGGCTGAAGGTTGTCCATGCCCTATAGAGGGCACACTCTCAGGGTCATAAATACATTCCAGGAGTCTTAAAGTTTCCAGATCCTCTTAAAGGTTCTCTCACCTTCAAATATCACACTCTCAGGGAACAAGTCTTTGATACAGACATATGGGGGGGTATTCCAGATCCAGGTGAGAGCACTGTTGCCTGCTGAAATACATGGGTGAATATTAAAAACCTTATTATAAGCAGAGGAAGTCAGTAAGAAAGAAAATTATACACTGTATGATTGTCTTCATATGAAACCCAGAATAAGGAACTTTGTAGAGACAGGAAGTATAGAAGTGGTTCCAAAGGGCTGAGAGTAACACGAAGATGACGTAACGATAGCTAGTGTGTACAGGATTTCTTTGAGGTGGTGGCTGCAAACTACTGTGAACGTACCAGGCCCATTGAATTGTACATCTCAAATGGGTGAATGTTCTGACATGCTACTTCTGCCCCAATAAAGCTGTGAAGACAACATACAAGCTGTGTCAGACATTAAAGAAGTGTGTAAGGAAAGTGTATCAGAAGCAAAGTCAAAACTCCAACCCAAATGGCTTACTAAATCCATTTGAAAACCTGCATCACTGTTCCCTAGTAAGGGCTACATCTATCTACCCTTCATGAGCCCTTCCCCAGTAATTAAAGCAACACTCACAGAGTCCCTGAATATCCTCTTTCTCACTCCAGTCCCTGCCCAAGCTTCGTTAAGAACCTGTGTAGGAGTAACCCCCCCTCCCCATCTTGCGGGAAATTCAGGCTTCAACCACAGAAATCATGAGATGTCCTCATTTCCTGGCCTCAATAGTCTGCAACTGTTTTATCATAAGACAGGAAGTGTGGCAATGGAAGTTCTCTTTTCTCAAAGTGGATCAAGATTTCCTTTCTGTTGTCTGGGTTCTGGGGCTTACCTCCAGTTAGAATCCAGTTACTTATTCTCTCTACCATAGACTCAGCCCCTCCCCGCTCTGTGACACCTACGTGTTAAGAACACCAGAGAACTGTAGCTCCACAGGTACAAGCATAATTCCAGCACCCCCCAGATTACTTCTGATGACCTCCTTCAAGTGGGTTTTAATAGCGAGTGATAATAGCATTAGCAATAATAGTATTATCTCATTAAATAGAAATAATAGCATTACCTCTTTAAAATTGCAAATCTACTGGCACATTAGCAACTATGAAACCTAGAAATTAGAAAGAAAACAGTATTTGTAATAATAGAATTTATAATTTCTTTTGACTAGTAGCACATGTACACGTCACTGTTAGTTGCAAATGCTGAGTTGTTGGGTGTCTTCAATTCCTTCAGCTTTTCTATAGGCTTCTTGTTACTCAACCAATACATTGCTTCTGATAACTTTAGGTTCATAAAGAGCTGCTATCTCGTTGTGAACACAGAGATTAGTTAAGAAGATTGAGCCTTTTTTTTTTTACATTTTTCTTCCCTTTCTTTCATAGTGATCAAACAAGCCCCCTACTTCATCTCTCAGGATTTCCATTTGTCTCCATTTTGCCCTTTCTTGTAAAGAAAAGGAGTTATGTCATAATAGAATATTTTTCAATCACCTTCCTCTCCCTGTCTCTCCTGCCCATCCCCTTTCTTTCCTCCCTTCTCCCTTCTTTCTCCTCTCCCCTTCTTTTCCCTCCCTTTCCCTTCCCCTCCTCTTTTCTGTCTTATACAAAACCTCTTCATTCCCCCAATGTTTTTTCAGCTCCAAGTTGAACTGTAGAGATCCTCTCGAGAGCCTTGGTCTCAATTCAGACAGAGGAAGGCTTCTTCTTCCTTAGCTTCTAGGGAAGAATATAGGAATGGAGGCTTCTGAGAGTAGGGGAGGTCGTGAAGCTGAGTTTAATCTTCTACCCACACTGCCTTCTCACAGGCCTCAACTCTTCTGCTTGCAGTTTCTTCTCAGTAGCACAGGCATGTGCTCGAAGGATGAAATAGAGCCTGTCTACAGGCAAAGCCCCATTGGTCAGTCAAAATGCTCAACTCCTCAGAAATAGATTTCATGTCTGCATCAATTTCATCTCCAGAAAACTGGCCCTGCATACTGAGATGACTGGAATCCAGTCCCCTAGCACAGCAAGTGTGGTCTTGGGGAGTGCCCGGAGTAGAGCAGGGATTCTCCTGTTGTGTGAAGGTGCCTGTGAGAGGGAATAGCTTATTGACCCTGAGGATTTACCGGGAAGCTCGACCCTATGGGAGATGGGCACAGTCTTGGATGTTCTGTATTTTCTGGGCTAGTTTCAGTTGCAAGTAATCTCTCTTGCTGTCTTTGTAGACATATAGTTGCTCTTGTTGTAGAGACCCATGATCATTTGGCAGTCCTCTCACAGATCCAGCGGTAGCTGATGTCGCATGATGCAGCATCAAATGTCTTTGTCAAGCCTATAGTGACGCAGTGGAAGTTCCGATTCTCATTTGTAACACTACATGAGTAGAGAAAGCATGGTTAGGGCTCCTGGTTTCAGTTTTGTCTTTGATTGCTAGTGAGGTGAGGGTCACATGGGAGGTGTGCATGGAGGAGAGGCAGCCTCATGTAACCACACACCCTCCTTTTCTGCACTGGGTCTTTCTTCCCAACTTAGAGTCCCTCTTCTCCATATATCTTCTCCAGTCCAGTCCCGTACCCACTGCTTCCTCTCAACTCTCCTGTGAGCATTCATGGATTCCAAGAATCTAGGTCTAACTTGTTCATATAAGGTTGGAAGTATTTCCAAACTTTGAGGGCAGTGTCATGATGGAGGTGGGTCTTGTAATAATAAAGAAACTGCCTCGGCCCTCATAGGACAGAAAATTAGGTGGGTGGAGAAAACAGAAGAGAATTCTGGGGAAAAGAAGCTGAGTGAGTGAGTCGCCATGATGCTCCCACTCCAGACAGACGCAGGTTAAGATCCTCTCTGGTAAGCCAGCTCATGGGCTACACAGAATATTAGAAATGGGTTAGAACAATATATAAGAGCTAGCCAATAAGAAACTGAAACTAGCCGGACCAGGCAGTGTTTGAAAGAATACAGTTTCCGTGTAATTATTTCGGGCATAAGCTAGCCATGCGGGCGGCTGGGTGCCGGGGACGCAGCCCCGCCGCTCCTATTTCAACAGTGTCACACTGTCCAAAACCATCTTTCAGTATTGATTGCATGTTTATAACAGGAAGGGCCAAGAAAGGAGGAAAGAGATTTTTTCTTCCTTTACTGAATGGGAGCTAGCTCTAGGAAAACCTTGGTGGAGGCAAGCCGTTGGCCTTCTCCTACTTTCTTTCTGGCATTTGGATCCTTTTGGTCTGACTGTAGAGTCTCATTTCATGAAAAAGTGGAATGAGATTTGGGCTCAATGATCCATGAAATCAAACTGTGGCTCCTATTGCTACGTGAACTCCAGCACATTTCATCCTCATTTCAACACTCATACCCAATTCAACTACTTGGGAGTAATAGAAACTTTCTCCATGGCATCCCGGTGAATACGGAGAAATGATCCATGCGTGTGCTTAGCGCAGCATAGTGCCTGATATTTAGGAGGCAGTGAGTACATATTAATTTTTTCCTCTCTGTAATCCATTTGCAGGCCGGGGACCTGGCTTGCTCCTTGTCCAGCTCAGTATTTCCATATGAAAACTGGAAATAGTATAGCCTCCTCTAAAGGTGGACTCCAAATGATTCCCCGAAGATAGTTCTTGAGAGATACAGGCCAACTTTAAGGTATAGATAGGATATAGGTATGTAATAAACTTTCTTTAGGTAAAGGAACTATATCTGGGGACATGGTATAATGTGTAGTTTAATGACCTATGAAATATATGAGATGCAGCAGCAGCTATGCATGTGGGTTGTTTTGAAGAAGATAATTTATTATAGGAATAATATTCTAATATTCTTTCTTCTATTTTTATATTATGTAAAATGTTTGTTTATTTCCTATAATAAATAGGCTAAATAGGCAGGGAATGGGTTGGAAACAGCTAGGAAAACAGAACAAAGTCTAGTCTAATCCTTTGAGCTGTCTCAGTGTGACTCTCAGGTTTAGTCTTCTTATGTAAAAATCCCTAGGGAAATAAATGCAGGGTGTTCACGTACTTGCCATTGAACGCAGAGTTGTTGACCCAGCGCCACCCTTTTCCTCCCGGCTGACGCGTCAGACCAACAAAGTACTTCTCGGCATCAGCTATGTCCTGAAGATACTTCTAGAAGTTAAAAGAAGAAGCGGCTCATCAGTGTGTTCTTCAGTGCTGAGCTGGCGGTTGATGGTGGCTCTGGTTCTGGGAACCAGGAAGGCTCCTGGGGATTGGACCCTGGTATCAATGACACTTGCCTGGGGAAGTTCTGAAACTCGGTTGGACGTAAGATCACCTGGATATCTGGACCAGACAGACTGCTTGGCCTGCGGTGCCAAAGAGCTAATGATGAAGAATTTGCATTACTGATAAATGCCCTGTGATGTCAGTATTGCCCAGAAGGTATGGGAAAGGAGGGCACCACAGTCAAAACCAGGCCACTTCATGTACACATCTTATGTCTGGAATGCTTCTCTTTGTGGGATTTTCATCATTCCAGAAAATTTTCACATCCCCAATTAAGTTTAATCAAGTGGAAAAATGTGTTGGGAGTTATCAGCAAACCATCAGTGTGATCTTTGTCTGTGTCACTATGCAGTAGAAGCTGGGGAGGGGGACAGTGAACACTGGACGCACCAAAACTTAAATGGTGACTAGAGGAAACAGAGGGGTCAATTCTTCTCGTTCTCTTCTCTCCAGCCCCTGTTTTCTTTCCCCACCCCCTGCTCCTCTTTTCTTCCCAATTTTCTACCGGAAAACATATTGCTTTCCACTTGGGTACTTTACCCTAGAGATTTTGTGGGATCCTAATCTCTGACCTTGGTCATCTATCAAGGGTTGGCTCCCTAGAAAGTTCTGCCCGATCACAGGATGATTTTTGAGAAGCTAGGATAGGGGAGGAAAACACGAATAGTGTTTTGTGCCCAACATCCAATCATTGCTAAGATTTGAAGAGAGGCAACTGTAAGTAAAATGAGCATGGTGAATTTAATCTTCTATTGTTTAAGTATATGATGGTCAAACAACTTTTATTTTGGCTAAGGAGATGTATCCGTTGGTGGGACATTTGCTGTGTAAGTGTGGCAATTTGAGGTCAGATTCCCAGAACCCACGGGAAAGCCTGATGTTGTAGTGACCTTTTGTTTTCCCAGTGCTCCCATGGCAAGATGAGAGGCAGGAAGGGGAGAATCCCTGGAAGGCTGGGGGAGGGGAGCAGATAATCTGGTTGTGCAGTTGTGAATAACAAGGCACCTTGTCTCAAGCAAGGTGGAAGGTGAGGTGGTTCTCTGACTTTCACATATCTACTATGGCACATTTGTGCCCCCCCCCACACTAACCATTACTTTTCTTTAATTTCCTCATTGCCTATGCATAAAATATGGCAGCCACAAGCTAATGGAAGGCAGTAAACAAAGCTGCTACAAAGCATTCATCTATTCTCATTTTCACAAAGGTGAACTGTAAACTCTGGGATCCAGTTCTTTGTTTTAATTATATTAATTTATCTTTTTTTCTTATGCACACTGAGATGACGCATTACTATCATGAATAATGCGTATCTTCCTCCTTTTCTATATACGTGAACATCTCATAAAGTATTCTGTAATATTTCTTTTGTGTCTGTGTGCTTTTGTAGTTTATGAGTATGTATGTATGTATGTATGTGTGTGAACGAACATACATGCGGCACTTATAGAGGTCAGAGGACCGCCTGTGGGAGCTTCTGCAAACATGCAGGTCCCAGGGATTGAACTTAGGTCATCAAGCTTTATAGTGTGTGACTTTACCCACTGAGCGATCTCCCTGGTCCTTACATCACTTCTGCATGCACTAGGTCTTTGGTTAAGCCTTGCACTTTTAATGTCCTGGTTCATCTTTAATACATAAACCTGATACTGCAGTTTATGGGGAAGATGACAGGATCTGGATTTCTCAGTCTCAGGTTTAGAACACGGACTATGAACTCCCCAGCCAGGCAGGCCTCTAATTCTCGCCAGCATTCTATCCCCACATCACGTTTTCCCATAGACCACCAACTGCAGCTGAGGTCGGGCAGGCTATTTTATCACGCCCTCCCAATGTCGTTACCAGTTTCTCCGGTGTGTCGACAACTGCCAGTGTGGATCCTCTGGTTGCACAGTGATCCCTGCTGTTATTCCAAGATGATTCAGAGGTGGAGAAGAAGAAGCATCTCCCTTGGTGAAGATCCCAGTCTTTGGGGCAGGCTGGAGAGATTAGGGGAGTAAGAAGCAGAGGCAGAAGCAGAATGAATACATGCTAGTTAGTGGTCTGGAGTGGGAGCCCTGGGACTGACTCACAAAATGATGGGGCATACGCTTCTTTGTAACTACTAGTATAAAGGCTTCCCAATCCAGGAAGAAATTCCATCGCTCTAGTCTGTTTTCCGGCCCCTAACATAGAGGGAATGACCATGAAGTTCTTCATGGTCCCTTTGAACAAAAGTTCCACAAGAAAGGGACAATGGGAAAATTCCTTGAGAATCCAGTTTGTGCCACTCAGGCTGGCCTCAAACTTATGATCCTCCTGCCTCTGCCTCCTTCTGCAAATTCTACTGGTGTGAGCCATCACTGAGTTCCAGAAAAGCCATGGATACACAGAAAAATCCTGTCTCAAATAAACAAAACAAAACAAATAGACAAAACAAAACGAAAGAATCCAGCTTATGTGTACTGAAGGGGTGGGAGAAACCAGGGACCATGCACTGTACCTGTTCCGTAGCTCCTTGTGGGCATGACACTTTCGTTATTTCTCCCAAAGATCTGTGAGACTGAAATGAAAAGAAAGCCTGGTGGTTACTATTCGATGAACAACCATTAGGTGTGAGCTGTTGAGCTCTGACTGTTTGTTTCTAAGCATTCCAGATGTTCTAGATGATCCAGAGGTATAAAGAAAAATCATCTTTCTTGATGAAGATCCCAGTGTTTGGGGCAGGCTGGGAGTTGGGAAGGAAGTGTGTGGAGAGGAAGGAAGGGGGAAGAAAGGAGGGAAGCAAGGCCCGAAAGAGATGCTATAGAGAAGACAAGGGGCTTGGTCCCTCTGAACTAGAGTTGTGAGAAATTTTCCTTCTCTGAAGCTTCCATCTGGCTATTGTGCTAGGTGCCTAAGTCCTACTTTATACCCCGCTTCTCCCTATTATGGTAGGTGATGTGAAATGCCTAGGAGGCAAAAATAAACAGGAGGTGGGGGTAGAGGAGGCTAGTACCCCAAGAAGGCTCTTACTCCTCCCATATACACGTTTGATATGGTCACCTTCAGAGAGCGGTTGGAAGCATTTTTATTCCAGGCTCGACATAGCATCTTTGCTGTTCCCTTTATTGCTGGTGTCCAAACCCTCTACAAAAAGCTTTAATTCCAGACAGCTTTTAGATGCTTTTCTCAATTAGGATTTCCTCTAAGAATTGTAACTGAGTACAAGAAGATCCAAGATTCATAGAGTTACAGCAGATAAGGAGGTAGGTAACCTTCTAGAGATTTCTCTAAGCATAAGAAGTTTGCCTTTTAAAATACAAAGTATGGGGAACGGTGGGCCCCTAAGAGGATCTTTTTTCTGAGAGCACTGACTGCACACACAGCTACAATGGCTCCATAGACTGCTGAAATCTCCCCGCAGGGGCTCTGGTTATTTGTTGGTTCTGGTTAAAACTACTTTCATTTACCCAGACATGAAGTTGTTGCTTAAAATAATAATGATGAAACAGACATAAGCATTCACCCTTTAATACATTCCCGAGCTCAGAGCCATTGTAATATTATAAAAGACTGTTTTAATTAGAGATGGCGGTTTTGGGTCCTAAAGATATCAACAGTAACTCTTATCTTTAGAGGCAGTGACAGGGTTCTTGCATACAAGTGAGCTTGGAGCTAGAGAGGTGGCAGAATTCCCAGCACCTACAGGCTGGCACACACCACTTGTAACTCCAGTTCCAGGGGATATAGTGTCCTTTTCTGGCATCCATACGTGACACATGCACATGGTGTACCTATATATATGAAGGTAAAAACATTCATACACATAAAAATAAATAAATCTTTTAAAAAAGAAGTGGGATTAGAAGCATCTTGTCCTCTGTGTATGAATCATCTGGCATTGAACTTTTTGTTTTATACATGAGGCTTGATTACTTACCTGTTTTATTCTCCTATAGTTGTTCTAGCAGAGTGTTTGGCACACAAAAAGATGCCTAGACTTCTTTGTAAAACAAGAATTCTTTGTGTGTGTGTGTTGTACGTACATGTTTTGGTGGGTGCATGTACATGTGTGTGAGAGTGTGCGTGCACTTGTGTGTGCATATGTGAGGAGGCCAGAGGTTGACATTGGGTGCCTTCTCCAAACCTTGACCACCTCATTTGTTAAGGCAAGGTCTCTTTCTGAACCTGGAATTTATTAGTTTGGCTAGATTGACTGGCCAATGAGCACTAGGGATCAACCCATCTCTGCCTCCATCCACCAGACCTGGGGTTACAGACACTGCTGCAACACTTGTCTTTCACAAGTGTGCTGGAGATCCAAGCTCAGGGTCTTATACTTGTGGGACAGATACTTTACCAACTGATCCATCTCCTAATGCTGGAATTGGTTTCTCTTTCTTTCTTCTTTCCTGCCTTTCTTTCTTTGCTTTCTCTCTTTCTTTTTTGTTTTTTACCTTTTTTTGTTTGTTTTCAAGATAGGGTTTCTCTGTATAGCTCTGGCTGTCCTGGAACTCACTCTGTAGACCAGACTAGTCTAGAACTCAGAGATCCTCCTGCCTCTGCCTCCCAAGTGCTGGAATTAAAGGTCTGCACCACCACACCTGTCTAGAACTTGGTTTCTTTATAACCATTCTTGTAAGACTATGAAACACATCTACAGCACATTACAGAAGTCCCCCACAGACCATCCTCAGGCCCAGGAGGAAAACTGAGCATTCTATATTTCAAGCAGAGGCTAAGAATATAGCTTATGTTTTTCCCAAGCAAGGTCCTGGATTTGATCCCTAATACCAGTAGGAGATAAAAATCATTATCAATAGGTTTGCTATTCATTTTCACACTTGAAAAGGTGATGAGGACCTTTGTGGAGCATTTGTGCATAAGTTTCTTAGGGACTGTTAGAATTCAGCTTGATAGCAGGGAGATTACCATTCTGCACATTAGTGGTTCCGTAGCTCTCCGTGGGGATGAAGCCATCATTACTCTTGCCAAAAACCTGTGGGACTGCAAAGAAAACCAGCTAGTGGCTCAGCCTCAGTGTGGCTACAAATGGCAGCAGCAGCAAATGAGCCACCAGGGATGCCAGGGAGCTGTGACCACAGGAGGAAGCACTGAGCTCTCTGCCTCATGGAGGACTGTGTATATTTTTGTTGTCTTCGCTTACCTACTTGTGGATCTCCTCTGCTCTCATGATAGTCATTGCATATTAAAATTGGGTCACAAGGAAAATACCGCTTACCCAACTGCAGTCGTTTGCTCACATTTCCTTCCTCCTTCATTTTTTCCTGACTTCAGAGATAAATCTTTGGTTTTGAAGCTCCTTTTATTACTGAATTTATTGAGAAGAATTTGTATATACACACATGTGTGCAGGCACACACACACACATCTCTCAGTTAAATCTTAATCTTATATTAGCCCTTCACACAGCCTTATTGGGTTGAACTGGAACAGTATTAATTTTAAATTATAGCAATAATAAAAAGGCATGCTAAATATTCTAGTTCATATTCTCCAAAAGCTTCATGTAAGGGCTCTACCCTTTTACACAGTCAGCTGTGCATCTCCATTGTAGAGCAGTAAACCTGACCCCTGTGTCTGATAGAGTGAGGGTGGACACCGTGGAGGTACGTAGGCACTGAACCTTTATACTCAGTCTGACATGCTGACAATAAGGATGCTGGGGAGAAGGCTCGCACAAATACTCACAATATAGCAGAAATATGGTCATTCCAGCAACTTTGATCACTACTATAATAAACCCCGAGATGATCATGTTCCAGTTCATGATGATGGGAATTCTGTGAGGAGGACCAGAGCAACATCAATCATCAGTATCTGGGGATGAAACTGCTTTCTCCTGTCTTACTTAGCCTTGTGTCTTGTTCAGAGTACCCAAGGGAGGGCTTCAAGACAGGCATTCTGGTGGCAGGTGAAAGGAGGAGCCCCAGACATGTCCAGAGCACTGATAGAAAGCATGACATGCTATTTCTCCTTCATGTATACTTTAGCCTTAGGTCTAAACCATGTCTCTATTTGTGGTTTAAAAAACCCTGTCCAATATGTAAGTCTCCTGTAATTCAACAACATATAGTCTTAAAAATGACCCTTGCTTATAAGCTTACAGTTTGGCAATGCTAATCTCACTTATAGAAGCCTTAAGTGAAGTGTCAGGGGTACGTGACAGATAAACAGGCAGGCAGGAAGGCAGACAGACAGACAGACTTACCTGATCTCTCTCTGGAAGTCTGGCTTGGCATACAGATCAAAGTCTGGCCTTTGTGATCAGCTAATCCTTGTGCGGTGAGCAGGGTTCCTCGTCTCCTGAGCATAAGCTCCTGCTCAGGCAATGGGTACCATCCTTGTTCACAACCTCACTGTGCCAGCTGCATTTTCAAGCAAACACCTCTTTCTGTTCAGTGCTCTTGGCAAAGGAACAGGCAGGGCAAAGAGGGGAAGGGAAGCTCTAGCTCTGCAGGAGGAAGGTTCCTGTCGGGGCAACTTTTCTAGACGGATGTGAGAAACCACATGCCTCAGCACAGACTCCCCCTTCATGTTGACTTTCTAATTGCTCTTAGGACGAGGCATGACTGCTTAATGTAGTATACAAATCTTGCATATTCCTTCTCTCATGTATTCTAGGTGCTCAACCATGTGCTAGGTATTCTCTTAGTGCCTGGGATGTGTGTGGTGGTTCTGTATCTCTTACTAGCACTAAATCTGCCCTAGTCTTATCTGCCACTAATACTACTGAAGTGAATTTTTTTAATGAATTTTCTCATCCATAGTTACATGACACACCTTTATTGATCACATAACCACACAGCACTAATAGTATCACCTGTTCTAGCTCAGATACACAGTAGACTTTTCTATGTTCTTATTGACTAGATAATTCTAATTCATCCTTTAGACATCATTTCCTTTAGGAAAACTCTTTTCCCAATCCTCCACTCATTTGTCCCATTTGTGTTTAGGTATCCCTTACCCAGTACCATGAAACTGGGTGTTCCTTGGGAGCAATTCTTGCATGATTATGTGCACACTGTTATTCTCATACTCTGAAGCAATGAAGTGATGTGGGATTCCCCTGTATGCTGTGAATATGTTTTATTACCATTGGTGAATAAAGAAACTGCTTTGGGCTTATGGCAAGGCAGAATATAACCAGGCAGGAAATCTGAACAGAGATATAGAGAGAGATCAGGTGGAGTCTAGGAGACGCCATGTAGCTGCTGAAGGATTCAGATGCCCCCGGAACGTTACCAGTAAACCATGAGCCTCGTGGTAAAATGTAGAATAGGATTGGGTTAATTTAAGATGTAAGAGTTAGTTAGTAAGAAGTGTACATTATTGGCCAAGCAGTGTCGTAATTAATAGAATTTCTGTGTTATCCGGTCTGGGCAGCTGGGAACGAAGAAGCAGCCTCCGCCCATGATGAAGGATCATTCCATTGATGCCATCTTAGATCCCATGAAATATAATAATAGGCTGGAGAGATGGCTTAGTGATTAAAAGCACTGACCGCTCTTCCAGCATACCCTGCTTCAATTTCTAGCAACCACATAGCAGCTCACAGCTGTCTGTAAGTCCAGTTCTAGGGGATCTGACACGCCCACATAGACACACAGGAAGGTGAGACACCAATGCAACAAAATAAATAAAAAAGAATACTATAAATTAAAATCATCACAATTTTAAACACCATGAAACATGTTATATCTATATAAATATTACTGATACAAGATTGTCAGAAGATTGACACAAGAAACAGAAGAAGACCTGAAATAACCTTAAAATTTATCCTAAGACTTTTGGAAAAGTTTTTAGGCATAAGTTGCAAGAAACTGATTTTCATAAGTAGCAATTTTTATGTGAAGCTTAAGTGTAAAATCCAATAAGAATTTTTAAAAATCATATACATATTTATGGGTGCTTGTCATACTTCCAGCTGTTAACTTCATTCCAGCCTGTAGTGATTTGGGAAAAGTGTTGGCATACAAAAGAGTTCCACAATAGCCCAGAATGGAGTATAACAAAGGTTTATTTGTTTGGGTATAAACTCATAGAAGGGTAGCATTCCACAATCTTCTACATGAGCTGGGAACTGAAACCAAATCCAGCAGCCAAAAAAAAAAAAAATCTGTGCATGCTTTTCATCTGTATATATAGCACATGAGACCACGCCCAAAGTGGGCTGATATCTTAAAGGCTATTGCTTGAAGGAGTTCCCACAGCATCTCCCACTTTTGTCTAAATAAGAGAGTTCTAAGCCTAATATGAAACTATATACAATAAGAACCAATATACATAAAAATTTGAATTACAGCTAGTATGAACAACATGAATCAAGAAACATGCTAAATGTTTCAATATTTGTCCTAATCTAAGGAGTCTAAGTCTTATATTAAAAATGGCTTGGCTAAGTCATGAGAGGAGAGTAAATATGACTATCTAGTCTTCAACCCCATCAAATACATGAGAAGGGAAATAATATTCTGAACAGTAAATACAATCAAGCAACTTTCAAAAAGTGCAAGAAATGACAAGTAATCTCATTATTATTATTAGTGTGAGTAAACTCACACTAATCTACCAATTATTCCATCCCATCTATTCACCCTGTCCCCTTTTTTTCAAGAGCAATCCCTGAGCCTACTTTATTTCCACCCACAACCTTATACCAGTTGTAACCAACACTTAATAATATCCCTAGTCCTGAGGACAAACTTTGTTGGGAGAGGGGACATTATTTTCTATAATTATTTCCAACTGTCATGAGGCAATGTTATTTCTATGGGCTCCTGTAAAAAATAAGTAATGGTTAAGTTTCAAGATTACTATCTGGTATAATTTAGGTAGTCTTTGAGTAGTTGGTAGGGTTTTTCTGAAGTTCTTATTTAAAGTTCTGGCCCAAACATTGTAAGAAGGTACACGATCTCAACTAGCAAAGATGGAATCATCTTGAGCAGTTTGTAACCCAAAACCAATCTTAAAGTGGTGCTATCAGCATAATTATATCATATCAACCAGGTGGAATCATTGTTGTGGGGCCCCACCTTCTTCCTGGAAACTTTAAAGATTACTGCAGGAAAATTTATTGTTCATTGTGGAAAACCTAAACATTATTCATACAGACAAAATACAGCAAAAGGTACCATAGAGACAAAAATAGGTATGGGGAGAAGCAAAACTTTTTGAGAGCAGAGTTTTGATAATAGTAGTCCCTAAATTTTATCTTACTTCTGCCCTATACCAGGTGGTTGATGATGTGAGACAGAAACATTGAATTTTTATTCTAACAACATGTTTGAATTTAGAAAAGGACAGCCACAGTTCAACTCCAAAGCCAGCTTTTATTTTTTAATACATGGTAACTACTATTATATGTATATCAATAATATCTTGCCCTCTAGAGGATATTGGTATCATATATCAGATTTTTCTTTGCTTGGTGATTCCTTCTAGATAGCTCTTTTTTTTCCTTTAAGCATCTAGATGTCCAAGGTCTCTTTACTTGTCAGAGATGGGTATTTTCCTGCAAAAACAAGAAAAAACCCTGCCCTAACCCTTATGAGGTTTCCTTGCAACCTATATGATTGTCACCTCTATGGATGAGCTGTCATTTCTCTTAATCAAGAGATTTCTCCTTTTCAAACCAAATCTTGATAACTTTTGATGATATCCATAGCTTTTCTTCTCCTGTAGAAACAAGAGTGAAACCCCTTCCCCAACATAGCACATCTTTTGCTTTCTACTCTGAGGTCAACACATCCTTGAAATGTACTGGCTGATTTGATTCAAAAGGTTTTTTTTTTTTCTTTTATCCAGTTCCTCTGCTGCCATTGTTCCTTCCTCATCGACATTAAGAAAATTCTAGATTAATAAAGCATTATACACTATATTTCTGGGGGCATTTTCATCACTTTCTATGTGTTTAACATAACCTTTATGATTCAATTTGATATTTTTATAACTGCCTGCCCTGTAGAATTATGTGATATACCTGCAATATGCTTTATATTATAATAAGCAAAAAACTGCTTCATTTTATTAGAGACATATGCTGGACCATTGCCTGTCTTTATTTGTGCAGGTATACCCACAATGGCCATAACTTCTAGTAAATATGTGATTTTTGAACTCAAAGCATTTTCCCATTGAAACTTGAATAGGTATCAATGGTGTGGTGTACATGTTTTAATTTTACGAATTAAACATTCATCTTCCAGATTTCATTTCTTTGAGTAAGTATCCTTTGGGTTACTTCCTGCAGGTAGTGGCGTTTGCTTATATAAAGAACAAGTAGGATACCTTATAATCTTAGTTTGTTGCCATGTAGTAGAAAACTCAATTCTAAACCTTTGCTATTGACAAGATGCTTTAAAAATTTTTTTATTAAGCTCTATGTTTTCCACTGTTCCCCTCCCTGCCTCTCCCTTCTTTCCTTCAACCTTCCCCCAAGGTCTCAATGCTCCCAACTTACTCAGGAGATCTTGTCTTTTTCTACTTCCCATGTAGGTTAGATCTATATAAGTCTCTCCTAGTGTTCTCACTGTCTAAGTTCTCTGGGATTGTGGTGTGTAGGCTGGTTTTCTTTGCTTTATGTTTAAAAACCACCTATGAGTGAGTACATGTGATAATTGTCTTTCTGTGTCTGTGTTATCTCACTCAAAATAATGTTTTCTAGCTCCATTTTCCTGCAAAATTCAAGATGTCATTACTTTTTTCTGCTGTGTAGTACTCCATTATGTAAATATACCACATTTTCCTTATCCATTCTTCGGTCGAGGGACATCTAAGTTGTTTCCAGGTTCTGACTGTGACAAACAAAGCTGCTATGAACATAGTGGAGCACATGTCTTTTCGGCATGATTGAGCTTCCTTTGGATATATACACAAAACTGATATTACTGGTTCTTGAGGAAGGTTGTTTTCTAATTTTCTGAGAAATTGCAACACTGATATCCAAAGGGGTTTTACCAGCTTCCATTCCCACCGGCAATGTGTAAGTGTTTGATTTTCTCCACACCCTCTCCAGCATAAGTTGTCATCAGTGTTTTTTATCTTGGCCATTCTTACAGGTGTAAGATGGAATTTCAGAGTTGTTTTGATTTGCATTTCTCTGATGACTAAGGATGTTAAATGTTGATATCTCTTCATGCCTTTGGAAATTATTTTGCCTACTTAAGCTTCAGTATTACAATCAAATGACTCAACATTGGCTGTGTGCATGATCCATTCATCAATTGGAGCTGATCTAACCTTTAAAGACCCAAGTATCTTTTTGCATTCTAAATTGGCATTTTCAAAAGCAGAGATTCAATAAGTACTCATCTAGTTTCTGGATCTGTTACCCCTATTT